AGCATTTCCTCATTCTCCCCTCCCCCAGTAATCAGTCTGCTGCAGGCAGGAGGAAGCCTTTCCTTCAACTCCCCTCCCCCAGTGATCGGACTGTATACTGTAGCAGCACAAAAAAGGCTGCGCGGCGATTGTACAATTAGCATTCCCGGGAATTTGCCGGATTTTGCCCGGCACTGCCATGTTTTTTGCTTTTGTCGGTGACCCGGCTCACTTCTCAGGCCTGTCAGTGGTAATGTCAGCCACCAATATGGTGCCACTAAACAATGGCAGGCAGCGGCGCAGGCAAAGACATGCGCAACCCCCCTCCCCCCACCCCGGAAATCTCCAGCTCAGCCACTGCTGATACCTCCCGGTTATGCCGATCACTCCTCGTTCCTTTCCACCCCCCCACCCCCGGGTCTGTAAGAAGTGAACTGACGCTTTAATTGCCGGCACTTGTCATGGCCGCCGGTGCCTTCTCGCTGACCCTGGCTGCCGGGAAGAGTCGGCTTAAGATATGCAGAGAACACGGCCCGCGGCCAAGGACACGTAACCGAGTAATTTTCCGAGGAATGAGCATCTTAACCAAATCATGATTGGCCTTCGCCTTCGCAGAGCAGCGCTCAGTCTACCTTGAAGACAGCTAATAAATTAATTCTCGCGCTCGCGCTCTCCGCGTCTCCCGTATTAAGATTAATGTCGCCCATTCTTCCCACCTAAATAAGGTGTTCTCGGCAATTTGTAAGGCGAGCGAGTGGAAAGGTTTGACACGGTGGTACTGCGTGCCACGGGGAAGGCCATCCCTCAATGTCAGGGCGGCGCGGCTCGCCGCGCAACGCTCAAGACTAAATATTATTCTCTCGTTTTCATTAAAAGGTGTTCGGTGACATTGAAAAAACAACCCTTGCCCCCCCGTCGTCTGCCCCACGTTCAAATAAGCGGGAGATGGTGTGAAATGATCCTTGCCGCGCAACAGGTGCGCAGTATGGAGAGTATGCTAGATGGGGCCGTGTATGAAGGTGGACGGCGTCCCGCTGCATACCAAACCGTCTTCTCTCTATGTTGATTATCAGAGCGCGCTGACTGGAGCCGCCGGCGGAGTCCTTATACCCCTCACACTGGGGTCGGGGTGCCCCATTGCGGCCCTAGAGGGAGTTTCAGCACAGCACCCTGCATTCACCGCGTGAACATCGGCGCTGTATTACTGGGAGGCCGCTCACCGACGGGTGGAGGCCGC